TTGTAGAGTGCTCAATATTTAAGAAATGTTTAGTTTTTCAAAATATATATATATATATATATATATATATATATTGTATAACAAGAAATGACTTTTAGGGATATATGTATATATACATATATATACATATATATATATATATATATATATATATATATATATATATATATATATATATATATATATATATATATATATATATATATATATATATATATATATATATATATATATATGTATATATATATATATATATATATATATTTATATATAAAGTTAAAATATACCATTGTTAATATATTTTTACATCTAAATATATTTTAAAATGGTTAAACGCTATCTTTTTATTATAATCAACTATATAATGTATAACAAGAAATGACTTTTAAAGATATATATATATATATATATATATATATATATATATATATATATATATATATATATATATATACATATATCTTTAAAAGTCATTTCTTGTTATACGATATATGTATATACATATATATATATATATATATATATATATATATATATATATATATATATATATATATATATATATATATATATAAACAGAGCATTTTATACTTAAATATAAAAAAAACAACTCTTAATGGAACTTAAAGTTTCATGCCTATCGGCAATCATCAGCCATGAAGTACAAAAACTCAATTTTTCTATATTTAAGTATATATATATATATATATATATATATATATATATATATATATATATATATATATATATATATATATATATATATATATATAAGATATGTTAGTGTATTTTAAAAATAGAGTGCTATAACAGAGACAAAATTAGATGTATTTTTGCTAATTTATTAAAATTAACAAAAACACATCTAATTTTGTCTTTGACAGGCAGGCAGGATTGTTTTTATTAATACATACATACATAATATATGTATGTATATTTTATTAATTATTTTAGCATATATTACATACATATTTAAATATGTATGTAATATATGCATGGATGCAATATAGGTATTTGCAGCTATTGTGGTGAAAAAGTCAATGGAGAGATAGACAAATAAAAAACAAAACAAATTTCTACATTCTATAAAAAAATAGTTTAAACACTCCTATTCATAACTAAAGAATATATATATATATATGTATATAAATATATATATATATATATATATATACATATATATATACATATACATATATATATATATATTTATATATATATACATAATATATATATATATATATACATATATATATATATATATATATATATATATATATATATATATATATATATATATATATATATATATATATATATATATATATATATATATATTCCATGGGTCTAACATACGTATGTATGTTAGACCCATGGAAGTCGGCCTAACATACAATTTTTAATATATTTACTTTTTGTTTTTGTTAAAATCAATTCATATTTTAATACATTCGAATTTTAAAAGTTTTTTCCTTTTCTAACTATTTATTGCTAAAATAATTAATAAAATACCTTATAATATTTTTTTAATATTTAAATGAGCAAAGTTTGATCGAATCGAGGGGGCTGCTAATTTTATATGGTCATAACTTTTAGGCACAATAATACAAATAAATTAAATTAAAAAACTGAAGGTTTATTTAGTATTAGATAGAGAAACTAAGCATTTTATCAAGTCATTGTCATCATGTTTTGGCAGAGGCAGTTAGCTTGTAGGGGAATTTTTGTTAACAATTCATGAAATTTTTTGCAAAACATTTAGAATTGACCAAAGCATGACCATAATTAAATTTAGTTAAAAAATTTTTTTTTTAATGTATCTTGAAAGACAACTTCATGTTATTAGAGTAATAACATTCTAATAATGTTATTACTCAAGATTGTGAAAATTTATAATGATATGACCTTGAGCTAATTTCATTATAAACTATTAATAAAAGCAGGTTGATTTGATTCAAATAAATAGAGATTTTTTGAGTCAAGTCTTGAATCACTTATTTGATTTGATTCAAAATATTTAGGCTTAGCAGGGGCCTAATATATATATATATATATATATATATATATATATATATATATATATATATATATATATATATATATATATATATATATATATATATATATATATATATATAATATATATATATATATATATATACTATATATATATATATATATATATATATATATATATATATATATATATATATATATATATATATATATATATACATATATATATATATATATATATATATATATATATATATATATATATATATATATATATATATATATATATATATATATATATCCACGACATGATATTAAATTAGTTTTTTGTGGTAGGTAAGATTTTTTAGGCCTTAAATTAGAGCACACATTGTTTTTGTCACGATTTTTTTATAAAACATTAAATTCAAAATAAACTAAATTGAAAACTAAAATGCTTTTATTTTTTTAATACAAGTAAAATCTATATGCATTATGAAAATCCAAAAAAAGATCTAAACATATTGATTTAGATACCAAAAAAAATAATAATAATTAAACATTTTATCTTAATTTAAAAAAACAATTGGACTAAAGTTAAGTATATACTTCAAATAATATATTAAAACAATAATTTACCAAAGAAAAACCATAAAAAAATCATTTCAATATTTTGCAGATCCACCTTTCTTAAATAAGGATTGAAGAAGACAATTATCTAAAATTTCAATGTTTCTATCAGCATTAAGTCAACCTTCAAATAATTAATAGCATTTAAGTCCTGCATAATTCATGTAGGCCCAAAAGTCTACACTGCCATTACCTTGCTTGGTTGGTTTTCATGTACAATTCAAATCAAATTACTCTTGAGGTGATCGCCATAAAGAACACGAAGCAATAACATATTTTTGCATATCTACCTCAACATTCATTTTGTCTGAGAATATAACACTTCACCACTTGCTGTCGCGTTTCATCAAGCAAATTAATTTTAATAATTAAAATTGTTTATCTCATTGTGTTGCCCACCAGATTATCCAGATCCATTATGTCATCATTGGCTATTTGACGAGGAGATAGTACTTGGTTTTAAATAAAAATAGATTTGTAACATGTTTTTTCAGAGAATCTCAACCATGATTTTGGAGTTTCATGCTATATTAATACAGTATGTATTAATACAGTATGTCAGTAATGAAGTAATATATTACTTCACTTGTTATGAGGCTTTTTCAATATCTAATTTATTTGTGTTTCCATCAGTACTATTTCAAAATTAGAAATTTAGAGTTAATAAATGCTAATGAAAATCAAATTAAATTATTTAAAAAAATATTACATTAATTTTAAAAATAAAGCAGTAAGCATTAATTTTTAACGAACAAAAAAAATTTAAAAAAATATAGTCGATGTTATAAAGTTACATATAACTAGGGATACAAATGAAATTTTATGGTAACAACTTGTCTATTAAATAAAAAACACGATACTTATTAATTATATATATATATATATATATATATATATATATATATATATATATATATATATATATATATATATATATATATATATATTTATATATATATTAGCTATATACCTTAATATAAATGTATCATACATCTACGAAAGTAGTGCACTACTTTCGTGTCCACCCAACACTAGTGTTGGGTGAATTCTATTTTTGTTCAGAAAAAAATTGAATACTCAGATCTGAAAACAATTTCAAATCAAGATAAGACTATTCGAAATAAAAAAGTAAAAATTATTAAATTGTATCGCTCAGATTTTTAGAAAAACAGTTTTGAAAATTTAAACAAATCACGCCTTTAACAGTTAGATAAATGTAGCAGAGAATCACAGTTTTTTATATATTCAAACATCTTTATATTGTTTTTATCATTTTTGAATCAACAATTCAATTATCTTTATTATTATTTCATTCTATCAAAAATATGCAAATTATAACTACTAAGTAAAACTTTAAAAATATTGTTGCTACTCAGAAAAAATTTTGGTATCTAAAGGCCGTCACCATCTTTAAAATTATAATATTTGACACTGAAATGAAATGAAATGAACACATGATTGTATGTGTTCTAGTTGAGCGCATTAACATGGGCCGGCTATCACAAGAATATATATAAAGAACACACTAGCTACAAAGATTACTAAATTATTGGATATGATGAACTGAACAGTGCTTCTGACATGGTTGCTCAAGCGTTATCAACTCTAAATAATAGATCAACAACAACAACAACTGCGCCTGCGTATAAATAACTTTCCACATCTAAACGACCGTGTTTGATGACGTCATAGTGTGTCGTCATAGCTCTTGTTCTAATATAGTTTTTTTTTTTAAGTATATATTGTGTTTGCATCTTCACCATACAAGCGATCATAGGTGGTAATACCGAATCCTAATCCAGCACAACGATTGCCAAGCAGTTTTAGTTGGGTGTTCTTACGCCAGAGGTTATGCAGCACAATTTTTTTTTTTTTTAATTTTTTTATTTTGAATATACATAGACTGCAAGCACACACACACACATACTAACAGCACATATACACCCATATATATACCAGTATACATACATAAATACATACATACACAGATACACATACACATTTATACATAATTAATTGATTTTATTTTATTTTAATTTCTTTTTTTTTTTTCATTTCTTTTTTTTTTTTTTTTTTTTTTTTACAAAACCGTGTTATAAAAACCGTAATAAATTTTTTTTTGTTTTTTGTTATTTCAAATACTAAATAAAAGGTAAAATAAACCTGAAAATTTATACATACTAGCAATATATAATATAAAGCAATATACAATACGAACTCAAATAATAAATATTTATACATCTATTCATAGCTATCAGTTTCAGTACAATCTCAATGTAACTATATACTTAGGTAAACTTAGTTTTAATAATAGGTAGACAAACCCATAACACTTATAATATAGAAAAACGTTCTCCATAGAAAGAATTAAATTTTTAAGCTTAGTTTTGAAAATAGAAAAAGAGGAAGGTAGATCAAAATTTTGCAAAATAACTTTATTCCAAAGATTAGGTGCACGATAATCAATACAAAGCTGATTAAACTTGGTTCGACATAAAACTTGATTTAGCAAATTATTATTTCTCAGTGCATATTTATTGTCTGGTTTCAAAGTAAAAATTCTTTTAAAAACTTCAGGAGGTAAGTTATTTTTCCACATATATACAAAACATAGAGTATTATATAAATTCACTTCATAAATATTAAGTATTCTCATTTCGTTAAATAAAGGTTTGAATGAGTAAAACGATCGGAAAAATTAATAATACGAATTGCGTGTTTCTGACGTGAAAAAAGACGTTTCAACTTATTCTTCCCAGCACTTCTCCAAGCAATATTTGCATAATTTATATAATTATGCAGAAACGAATGATAGAGTTGGGTCAAGCTTTTTTTATTTAGATAATCTCTAGATTTATATAAAATTCCAATATTTTTAGAAATCTTGGTACATACGTGATCAATATGCTGTTTCCATGTAATATGCTCATCAAGATAGACTCCTAAAAACTTTATGACAGAGTCCCTCTTAATCTCAATTTGGTTAATAAATATTTTAGGCAGATTTATGGGTAGGTAACGTTTTTTTTGAAACGGGTGGAAAATAATCCATTTTGTTTTATTAGGATTAAGAGTTAATTTGTTATACTTGAACCAGCTAGATATTTTTTTAAGTTCGTCATTTATATTAAAAACAGTTTGGAGATGTCAGTATCAGAAAGGAATAGGTTAGCATCATCAGCGAACATAATGCTAAGTAGACTTGAAGCTTTATTTAAGTCATTAATGTAAATCAAGAATAAGAGGGGTCCCAATATAGAGCCTTGAGGAACACCGCAAGATATATCTAATAAATTTTTTTGGCATTCATCCTTACAAGAAACAAATTGTTTACGGTTTGATAAGTAGCTTTCAAACCGTCTTAAAGTTTTTTTGTTTATACCTAAATATTTAAGCTTATGCAGTAATATAGTGTGATCTACTGTATCAAAAGCCTTAGATAGGTCAATAAAGATACCTAGTGTGTATTGGGAATTTTCAAAGGATTTTGAAATTTCGCGTACAAATTGAATGTTTGCTTGTTCCGTGGAGTTGTGCTTTTTAAAGCCAAATTGATTGCTATATAGTAGGTTAAACATGACTAACTGTGGTTAAACATGACTAACTTGCTGTTGGGAGTTTACTAAAAAGGCGGCAAGAAAAACAAAATAATGTTTTATTTTGCTTCAAACAAGCCAATCAGGTGGAAAAGCAACTCCATTTTTATAAGTGCGAAATGGTGTAAGTGCAAACTTGCATAAGTGCAAACTAGCATAATTCCGAATCATTTGCAAAAACTGGCATGAGTGCAAATCGGAATAAATGCAAATTGGCATAAGTGTTAATTAGAATAAGTACTAATTTAGCACTTATGTTTAGCACCACGTTAATATTTGCAATTTTATTCAGCGCACTCATGACAACTCACATTTATGCCAGTTCATACTTATGCCAGTTTGCACTTATGCCAGTTTGTACTTAAACTGATTTGTAAGTTTTTGCAACTGCTTCTATTAATTCGCACTTATTCCAGTTTACACTTATGCCAGTTTGCACTTATGTCAATGCTTGCAAATTCTTTTGGCGCACTTATGTCAATTTGCACATATGCCAATTCAACTGATTAAGCTAGAACTAAATATTTATTAAGCTGGTTAAATTAAAAGCGTTTTTGGAATAATTACTCAGCTTTACGTGAACAAAAACTTAAGCAAAATTGTTTAAATTTTTATCCACGTATATCTGAGCAATTTATTCCAAAAACGCCGAGTGGTTGCTTAGCTTTACTGGAATTAAACTTTGAGCAAAATTGCTCTAATTTATATTGAGCAATTACTCCAAAAACGCTGAGTAAAAGCGATTGCTTATTTTAACTCACCTAGCCTATTGACTTTTTTGGTAAAGTATTGCACGTTATCGAAGTGATCTAAAGTACTCAATTAATACAAAAATCATAAATGCTTCCCAACGTGGTCAAAGTAACTTCTACAATAGTTACTTTTTTGATGATATTTTAAAATAATAATTTTATTTAAAATAATTTAAACTAAAAGTTTATGCTGACGTGAACTTTTTAGCTAAATGTTCACGCTGAACTAACAAAAAGTTTTTTTCTGAAAAAGTTTATAACTTGGTTTAGAGCTTGCAGCCTGAACATAACCAGGACAATATGCCTCTTGACCCCCTCTTGACAACTTCAATGACACGCAAAGTTAAATATTTCAATGCTACTCAAAAATTTGTTACTGATTAGAATTGTAAAGAACTACAAATAACATAAAACATTGAAATTCGCACAGGATGCGGACAAAATATGACAAGAAAAGAGATGATTGAAATAAAGGTTTGATTTTATAAAAGAATGGAGTTTTATGAATGATTTAAAAAAATCATATTTAAAGCGCAAAAAATATAGAAAACCATATGAAAAAATTAACAGAAAATTAGTTCTATTGACATTAGTTCACAAACACAATTATAAACACATAATGAAAACACAAACGTTCTTCTAACATTAGTTAAAAATCACATTCGCTCTATTAGTTTATCTTGATCCACCGGTGAATCAAGAGCGCGTAAAAAATTATTTTTAATAAAGCGCCAAATGAAAAAAAAAAAAAAAAAAACGAAACACAAAACTTTTAAAGAAAGACGGAAAAAGCATTTAATTTGCATTTATTTGATTGGAACAGTTGCATTTATTTGATTGGAACATGAGTGGAACAGTTAAACATCAAATGAGTGGAAGCGTAATGTTATGGGGTTGGATAACCCCATAACATTACGCTTCCACGTAATGTATTATGTATTATGGCACGGAAAGGAGTTAGTAAGTTAGAACTTTTTGATGTAACTAAAAATGCTAGTTTGTATAACAATATATTGAACCGAAAATTAAAATCTTCTGCTAAAAAAACTTAGATTAGGAAACAACTTTGTGTTTCAACAAGATAATGATCCAAAACATAGCGCTAAAAAAACTAAAGTATTTTTTTTTGTGATAAAAATGTTAAAGAATGGCTTTATTCAAATTATTCATGCTTTTTCTTTAAATAAGTTCCATCTGTGTGTAGAAACTACAAAAAATGAGTCTAAAAATTCCCCAAAATACCAAAATAGTTGATAAAATTGATGCAACTACTCACACTGCGCTGACTAACTTTGTTTAATAAATGTCCAGCACATGGGATATAAAAAACTAGTTGATTATGCTTCTTTAAACGCGCTTGTAATCTAGAATATTTACAAGACATGTTGCCAGCATTGTTGTATGTCGATCCTCGACAACTGCCTTATCAATCTCATTTTATTCCAGTGGATCTAATATGTCAGCGCTCAAAAATTTAAATTTGTGACTTTTAATTTGTAGAAAGTTTGTTCATACAAGTATAAATTATAAAAATATATTATAGATAGTTGATCCACGTGAGTAGATCAGAAGCAAAAGCGACAATAACTCCGTAGCACTTTTCCCTTTTTTATTTCATAAACTATGTGGCCTAAATTCTTTTAAAATTTAATATCCATTAGCTTGAATTGAAATTCAACACCATGTAATTTGAATTGAATTTTAATATCAAGTAGCTTTTCGCAAACACCCAGACAGCCCTCCACCAGCGACTACGGCGCGATGACGGCCGTCGATCACATGTCTGCATTGAAACGGCCATTAGGCCAGCACTGGCCCGTTAGCCATGGGCTAATATTGGCCCGCAATCGTTCGTCAGCACTGGTCTGTGATCGTTGCCAGCACTGGCCTGCGATCGCTTGCCAGCACTGGTCCATTATTTATTCACAGTACTGATTCAAGATCCTTTTCCAAAATTCTTTCGGTCGTGCGTCAGCACTAAAGCTTTAACTTTTAATAATTCAACAGCACGTTGTTATAGTTTCATACACCAGCACGCCGTTATTATCTGTTTCTGTCCAAATGTGTTATCCCACATAGTTTAAACAAATAAGTACTTATCGAAATATATTCCAACTTATATCGACAAAAAAAAATGAATATTTTTTGTTAACCAAAAATGTGTTAAAAATTATAAACAAAAAAATGTTATAAATAGTTCAAATTATTATTTATGATAATAACTTTTTATTAAAAGAACGTTCCTCTTGAGCTTTTCGTCCATCATTTCGATCCCCGGAAAACTCTCATGCTCGCGAGGAGAAAGTTTTAAATTGCTAAACTAAAAACTTTTAATTATCTAAATTTTAATTAAAATTTTTAATTATCTAAATATATATATATATATATATATATATATATATATATATATATATATATATATATATATATATATATATATATTATATATATATATATATATATATATATATATATATTTATATATATATATATAGTAAATAATTTAACTAAAATGTATGACTAAAATCATAGTTATAAGAAAGAATAGTTTGGAAGCGAACAATAGCGTCTTGTTTTAACTCTTTCATACAGTTTTTTCTCGTTTCCGGACTTCCGAACCTGCACAAAAAGATTGTTGTTGTTAGCGTTTGCCTGTTATTTTACTAAGTTGCATTTGTGTTTTGATTGAAATTAATTTTTTTGATATGCCTGGTAAAAATTGTACAATATTTGGCTGTTCAACTTCAAGAAGACACAAAGGTATCAGCATTTTCAAAGTTCCTACTCCAACTAATGTTGCAAATAAGAAATGGAGTAATGACCTTATTAACGTAGTTACTAGAGACAGACTCATTGATGATTCTTTGAAAAAACGAATTGATTCTTTTAATCTTTATATTTATGAGCTTTACTTTACTGAAGATCAATTTTGGGTTTACTCATCTTGAAAGATTTTAAAGGATGGAGCATTGCCAATCCTAAATCTTCCCAAGAAAAGCAATCCATCGCAGCGAAGTTCGCTATCTATTACAAAACGTGAGGAGTTTTTAGAAACTCAAGAGTTGATTTCTCAAACTACACCGTCATGTTAAATATATTTTGATGATTTTACTAAACGTATTTTAAAACTCTCTTTAGGTGAATGTTGAAAAATATCTTTTGATGAGAGATTTGCAATTATTACTTGTAATTCTCCAGAACATATTTTACCTAAATTCAAAATTTATGTCGACGAGTTGCTAGACTATTGTATAAGAATTTTTGGTTGGATGTTACCAATAGATTATCTTTTGTACCTTCAATACAAAGGATCTTTTTTTAATGTTTCTTTATCCAAATTTATAAGTCATATTCAAACTCTTATTCTTTGCCCAGGTGTTGAAGTAAAAAATTTAGACTTAATCAACCAAAATTTTAAATTTGAAAAACGTGTTATAACTAAAAAATTTAATTACTTGCTTTTTAAGCTGCTTTCTTATAAACCTAGATTAAATCAAGATGAGTTTTATCGTTCACCGTTCTTCATGCCATTCTTTGCAACTTAAATCTAATTATGCAACTTAAATCTAATTATAAAAGTAAATAACAAAACTAAAACTTTAAAACAACCTGCAAAGCAGAACGCTCCTCTTAAGTTTACCTCCACAGAAAAAATTAAATTAAGTTTGCAAAAACAACGTTTAAAATGCAAACAGTTGGAAAGTCAAATTGAACAAATGAAAACAGTTTTAAATATGGAAAGTGAAAAGGTTAATTTAGAACTTGACCAAGACCTTAAAACATTGTATTCTGGTTTTAATCAAAAAAATATTCCAGACTTCATAAAACTATTTTGGAATGAGCAGCAAAAGTATATTCAAGCTTTTAGTCCCTGCAGTGTTAAGTATTATCCAATGATAATAAAATTTTGCCTTAATTTAGCAGCTAAATCTTCGTCAGCATATTCTGATTTGCGTTTTGATAGTAAGACTTGTTCAGGGTGTTTAGTTCTTCCAAGTTTACGCACATTGAGAAACTATAAAAATTATATACATCCTTCAAGAGGTTTTAATCCTCAAGTCATAAGTGATCTTGCATATAAAACTGCTAGTTTCTCTAGTGCTGAACGATTTGTTACAATTCTGTTTGACGAAATGAAAGTTCAAGAAGATTTGGTCTGGGATAAGTAATCCGGTGAGTTGATTGGATTTGTAGATTTAGGAGATATTCAAACAAACTATGCAACACTTAAAAATGTAAGAGAGCTAGCATTTTATGTTTAAATTTTTCATGTTAAAAGTGTAGTAAACCCACTTTCCTATAGTCTAGCAACATTTGCCACAACTGGAGTATCATCAACACAACTTATGCCAATATTTTGGAAAGCAGTGCGTTATCTGGAAAGTATAAATTTGAAAGTAATTGCTGCAACTGCAGATGGTGCATCTCCAAATAGGAAGTTTTTTAAAATGCATAAGAAATTAAATGGTGACTCAGGAAGAAACATTATATTTTGCACTAAAAACTTATTTAGTAGTGATAATAGATTCATCTTTTTCTTTGCAGATGTATCTCATCTAATTGAAACTTCTAGAAACTGCCTAAGTAATTCTGGTTCTGGATGTAAATTACGATACATTTGGAATAGTGGATTTTTTCTTCTTTGGAATCATATTTCAACATTTTATAATTCCGATTTAGAAAGAGGTTTAAAACTTGTTCCTAAACTAACAAGCGATCATATAAACTTAACACCGTATTCTGTAATGAGAGTACGACTTGCATCCCAAGTATTGAGCCTAAAAGTCGGAAATGTTTTAAAGCAGTTTGGACCACCAGAAGCTGCTGGAACAGTAGAATTTTGTTTAATAATGGATATGTTTTGATTGTCTAAATGTAAAAAGTAGTGCTGAATAAATAATGAAAAGAAAGCCATTTTTAAAACCATATGAAACAGTAGATGATTCACGATTTCCTTGGTTAGATAAATTTCTCCTATACTTTAAATTGTGGAAAGAATCTATAGATCAACGAGAAGGAAACTTTGATGAGAGCTCAAAATCAAAAATGTTTATTTCTTCACAAACTTATGAAGGTTCGCAAATTACAGTGCATTCATTCAAAGAAGTTGTTAAATTTTTTACTTGAAAATGGTGTTCAATTTGTTTTTTTTGAGAGATTCTGCCAAGATGACGTTAAAAACTATTTTGGTAGACAACGTGCAATAGGTCGCAAAAAAGATAATCCGTCTACCAGAGATTTTGGCTACAACGACAATACAATCAAGTCGCAGTTTTTAGTTCGTCCAATTAATGGTAATGTTCAATCTAACAGCAATAACATCATAGATATTGAAAATAATCCTTTACCAAAAAGAAAAAAAAGTCGTTAATTCAAATTAAAAGCCAACATTAAGCTTTTCATTATCACATTTATTGATTCAAAATAAAAAAGTTTTTTTTCATAACCACAAAATGTTAAAAGCATTATTTGTCATTTATGATGACATTATGACAAATCAGTCGGCCAATATAGACTATTTGGACCAGTCAGCCGGTGGCGCATACAAAGGGGGTGGAAGGGGTAACTACTTCTAAGAAATTTCAAACTTCAAAATATTATTGATACAATTAAAAAATTTAATAAAAAACACCGGATCAAGGAGGGGGGCTAGGGGGACTATAGCTCCGGGCCCGCAAATTTGGGGGTCCCCCAAAATTTTTGAGAACCTTTTTTTTTTAAGTCACTTTTAAGCTCTGGCTCATAAAAAAACCAGTACAATAGCGCCTTTAAGGGGAGTAAGCCCCTCCCCTCTCATAAGAACTTCAAACTATTAACGACAAAATTAAAAAAAACAATTTGAAAGTAAAAGTTAAGTTTTATGCGTCATTTAAAACAAGAAAATTAAAAAGATCTACGAATGTACTACCAATTTTTAAACAACAATTCAAATTTCTTCCAACAAATTAAATTTAAATTTGAAAGTCTATTATTATAGATGTGCTCAAAGCACATAAACGTTTCCGGTGAAATTGGAAACGAAGAGCTAACTTAGGCCATTTAATAAGTTATTTATTAAATGATAATCTTCTTGTGGCAGTGTACTGTTAAGATGCTCTAAGAAGCCATTAGGTCTGCTTGGGGCACCTTAATAAATTAAAAAAAAACAACCGGGGAAACCGAACTGCCCCACATTTTTTTCACCTACGAATTTGTAAGTTCGTAGATATCAAAGAAACCGATGACCTTTTATTTTAGTTGACCAAATAGGGTTTCCCCCTCCCCCAACCTTAAAAAACCCTGACACTGCTGTATTGGGGTTTTACCAAAAAAGAGGGTACTTTTCAATAAACTAGGAGATTTTTAAGAATAATAAAACGACGTTCAACTTATACACTTCTAACGCTCCTTAACAAAAGGTGTTGGCAGTGTTAGATTAATACTTCTTGGGGTCTGGGGCTATTAATATTTTTGGAGTTTTTTTTTATGTGCCAGAGGTAAAAATGTCTAAAAAAAAAGTCCTTTATAACATTATATATATCCTAAATTTTGGGGCTCGGGTCAATATGCGGCAGTGTTGTAGTGGTAAGAGCGCTCGCTTTGTATGCCAGAGGTTCGGAGTTCAACTCCTACCACTTCCTTGGAAGTGCCGCGTTCAACTTAATTTCTCCGCGCAGCGGTCTTGCTTGTCAAGGTTCGTGTTTCAGAGTTAAAGAGTTGAGAGAGGGTTGTACCACGGATTTAAAACAAAAAAAATAAAAAACACAAAAAAATGAGTAGCCTCCACGACTGTAGTGGCCCCCTCGGGCCTTGGGAAGGTAAATAATTAAAAAAAAAAAAAAAAAAAAATAGCCCCGTACCTTAATCCGCCAATGGGTGCTTAAAATAAACTTGAAAATGAAATAACCAAGTTTAATACATTTAATTGAAATAATAAACTAATCAAGAAAAAGGAAAAAAGTATATTGATTGATCCACATGATGGTTGAACAACACATGACAGATAGATAATAACATTTTTAGGCAGGAGGGGGAGGCAAACATGAAGGGAAAAAAATCTAAATTATTACCAGGTGGGTTAATATTTGGTTAGTTATAGTTAAAAGTGAACGTTATATAAATATAGTTAATGTAACCATAATAGTGAACGTTAAGCTGTTGAAGTAGAAACAAATAACTTCGGTTAAAAAAAATAATTAATGCATGTTACTGGATAGTAATCCAGTAACAGTATTAGATAAAATATTAAAATTCAGTATTTAATAAACAATTGGTACAATAAATAATTATTAATAAAAAAATAATAAATTGCTGGGTAACACGTATACTTAATTAATAAATCAATAAACTTAATAACTGTATATATATAATGTCAGGTTAGGTTATCGTGCTGAAGTATATACACTATATACTTCAGCACTAACTATAAACTGTATATACTTCAGCACTAACGTGCTGAAGTATATTCAGTTAATAACTGTTTGTAATTGTTCCTCGCTATATATATATATTTTTTGGCATGTTTACATCCATGTTTCCACACTTGTGTGGTTTGGATGGTTCTCCATAGTGACATAAATATGCCACTATGAAAGAATTGAAGCAATTTTTTACAACCCTATGCCCTCCCTGGCGTTATCACGAAGATATATATATATATATATATATATATATATATATATATATATATATATATATATATATATATATATATATATATATATATATATATATATATATATATATATATATATATATATATATATATATATAAATACTGATGTAATTATAATAAAAGTTCGAAATAATTGACCCTAACCTAAGTTTATTGAAGGATCATCTTAAAAGAATATTTTGAATCTGTAGGTACAACTACAAATATAATTGAAACTGAGTTTCAATTATATTTGTAGTTGTACCTACAGATTCAATTATATTTGGGTTTATATCACTGATATAAACCCAAATATAATTGATTAAACTTATATTAATTTAATTATATTAAATAATCTATATATTAAATAATCTTTCTGATATTATCAGAAAGATTATTTAATATAATGGCAGACATTTCAGTGAGTAGTGTATTGCTCAAAGTTATATCACTGAAGTGTGAAGCTAGTGGATTTTCGCTCAGCAGTCCATAATATTCTTGATAAAATGAATCACTATTGCCTTTAAATTTTTCTATAATCGGTTTTAATTTTTGCCAAAGATGTTCAGCATCAACTATTGAATAACTAAATTGCTTGCATGAGAAATTTTTTCTAATATCAAATGGCAGGCACATGTCCATTTCCAATAAACTAGCACATTCTTCAACTATGCTTTTCAGCTTTAGCGGTGACAATTTATTAGAAGAATTTTCCGTATCAGACATTTTTAAAGAACATTTTTAAAGAACATTTTTCAAAACATTCTAAAATATGCTTTGATGCTATGTGTCTTTTTAAACCTCTAATTGTTTTGTATAGTTTAAGACACTGAGTGCATGCATGTTGCTTGACATTATCTCTATGAATATCGATATCAGAAACAACGGAATCTATATCTGTAACTAAGTTAATGTCATCTTTCAAAAATCTTCCTTCAACCACGTCAAACAAACATTCTAAATCACTTTTTGTCTCAAAATTGCTAAAACTTGCCATTATTATAAACTTGTGCAGGTTTGCCGGGTCGTCGTGTAGTTTTCAAGTTAAAATCGGAAAACAATGGAAATGGTCCGTGTTTCCAAACTATGTATTCTTAAGACTATGCTAAAATGTACTTTACACACACACACACACACACACACACACACACACACACACACACACACACATTGCACCCAGGGCCGGCGCGAGTAGGTGTCACGTCGAGTGGTGCCATTACAACTCTTGCCGATTAAAAAAAAAAAAAAGGTCCTTGTTTTTGGAAATTTGCCGACTGCCATGACGACATTTGCCGACTGACTAGATTACCGACTAATCTATTTCGAAAGGGTCGACATTTGCCGACTAACTAGCCTAAAAGGGTCTAAAAATTGCCGACTAAAAATCATTGATTTTTAGTCGGCAATTTTTATTCATTGATTGTGGGGGGGGGGGGGGACACACACCCCCATCGCGCCGGCCTTGTTCGCATCTCAAACTCACCTATTCTATGTAATAAAATTACACTAGATATAAAATTTAAACATATGACATGTTCATATTATAATCAATTTTTTTAAATTTTCTTATAATGTCAACCTGGTACTAAAAAGATGCAAAATCTAAAAAAAAATTTCAAAAATAATAACATTTTTATATTAAAAAAAACATTTAAAAGAAATTATTATTAAAAAACTAAATATTGACTTTTATTTTTTAGTCAAAAAACCATAGTTTTTATTGAAATAATAATTTTCATATAAAATTTTATTTTATATAAAAATTTCAACTATTTTTGAAAACTTTATTTAATATTGAATCTTTTGAGTACTAGAATCAAAATTTATATCTAGTGTTATCTTATTATATTGAACATTTAGGGTTGAGGAACCTATTTTGGAGAATATTTAAAAAACAGCTTTTTCAATCACCCAAATATACATAACTACAAATGTTATATAGAGAATGAAATCTCTTCTTACCCAAAAATTTTAATGGCATTGCTTTTGAAGCAAGCTTATTGTTTACTCCTGACCAATCAATTGTCTTTTTTATATTGGTACCAATAACCATTGGAATCATATTACTAACAATCTTCCTAATTTTTGAGTCACCTTTGGATGCTAATTTTCTGCTCTAAATTTAAGTAGACGCTATACATGATAACCATAATTACTAAAACCATAAATTTAATAGAAAAGTAGTAGAACTAAACAATTTTAAGTTTGTTAAATTTTATATATAAATATGGCTTGCACTTACCAGTACATTCATAACTTTCTTATCTGAATCAATATCTTCATTTAATGTGATCAAACATGCCTCATCGTTAACTGTAATCATAAAAAATTTATTAAGTAGAATCGATTCACTGTTTTTGTTCAACATTCCAAAAAGATGACTAATTGGTGCATTATTAGTATCCAACTTTTAATTTAAGTTTTATCCGAAAATAAGCAGCTCTTTTTCAACTGCTGTTTTTTTAAAATGCAATTTAAAAAAAATTAGAATAAAAAAAACTGAGCATTATAAAAAGAACTAGTATATATTGTAAGAATACTACTTACCAGTACAATGAAACATTCTTTTGCTCACATTGGCAAGAAACCATGTCACAGATAAACATCCATTGGATGTCATTTAAGACCCCAAAAAACTAAAAATAATAAAAAAATAATAATAATGAAACAGTTAAATTCAGTTTACTAATAGGTTAACATTTATATATATATATATATATATATATATATATATATATATATATATATATATATATATATATATATATATATATATATATATATATATATATATATATATATATATATATGTAGAGAGAGAGAGAGAGAGAGAGAGAGAGAGAGAGAGAGAGAGAGATAATTAGAGTAATTTTTGTAAAATTAAAAGAAGAAAATATTTTGTTTATTGTTTATTTTGTTGACTAATTTTTTTACTTATTGGTTATAAACATATTTCAAGTTATATATATATATATATATATATATATATATATATATATATATATATATATATATATATATATATATATATATATATATATATATATATTTATATATTTATATATATATATATATATATATATATATTTATATATTTATATATATATATATATATATATATATATATATATATATATATATATATATATATATATATATATAATATATATATATATATATATATATATATATGTATATAGATAGATAGATATATATAATATATATATATATATATATATATATATATATATATATATATATATATATATATATATATATATATATATATATATATATATATATATATATATATATATATATATATATATATATATATATATATATATATATATATATATAATTGTCTAACTCATTGTTTTTTTGTTTTTGTTTTTAATAACATTTTTTATGATTAAATTCTTTCTTTAAAGTCATTTATATAATTAAAGGTTTATATGAGTCATTTATATGATTTAAGTCATTTATTTAAATTATTTACTATAATATGTATTACTACAAACACAATTATTATATTATTGTTATTAATAAAAGCAAACACTTGAGATACAACATAACAAAAATAAAATAAATAATGAGCACTTTTGTTATCAAGAATAAAAATCAACTATGTATAAATTTCAACAAACTATGATACTTTAGAAAAATGTCATTTAAAGTTGCAACATGCTCAATATTTTCTAAATTTGATACTAAAAATAATCCTAACAGACTTGAATCATAACGATAAGTGAAAAAAGTTGAAAATGACTAGTACAAAATATAGGTAGTCTTGTCAATAATATAAATACTTTTGATTAAACAAATTTCATTGTCTAACACAAATATTGCCATCACTATATTGTATTAGAAATCTTAAAAAATCAGAGTCCTTTGTTATTTCGGTTTAAAAACCTAATTTTTTGATAAGGTAAAAACTCATTTATTACAGCATTACATTCAGACTTTCTGTAACTAATCTGAACTTATAAATATATACATATATTTTTAATATTTATTTATTTAAAAGGTCGAAAAGTTTAATCAAGTAAGAAAAAAAAGTAGCTTATTAAAAATGTACTCAGAGTAAAAGTTACTGCATTAAAAGTTACTGCACAGACAACAAAGCTATCAAATAAAAAAACAAAAATCAGATAGTCTATTCTTTTCTGTATAAAATTTTCTTTTCTGTATAAAATTTTCTTTATGCACAGAAAATATTTTTTATTGTCATAAAAAGTGGAAAGAAACCAAGCTAAAAGTCAGTCAGTTAAAAGTAAGTCAGTTAAAAGTTGTTATTAGCGCGCTCAACATATTTTTTAAACAATTTAAAAGTGTCATTTTTATTAAAGTGAGCAAAACTCAAAAAAAACAAATCAATCATAGAATTTGTGAAATTAAACAATACTTAATAATTTTTTTTACTCAATAACGCATATGATTTCAAATTTAGCGAAGTACAATACTTTAGAGAAAAAAAATACTAAAGTAAAAGTAAAAGTACACATTTAAAAACATATTTAAAAAGTAGAAATTTATAAATAACTACTCAATTACAGTAACGTGAGTAAATGTAATTCGTTACTTTCCACTTCTGATATATATATATATATATATATATATATATATATATATATATATATATATATATATATATATACATTTGTATAAAATATATATACATTTGTATAAAATATATATATATATATATTATATATATACATATATATATATATATATATATTTGCATAATATACATACACATATATATATATATATATATATATATATATATATATATATATATATATATTACATGTATTATATATTTATATATATTACATGTATTATATATTTATATATATTACATGTATTATATATATACATATATTACATATTGTACATGTATATATATATATATATATGTATATATATATATATATATATATATATATATATATATATATCGTCGCTGCAAAACAAAACTATATTAAGTCCATTTTTGGCAAAATTGACTATTTTGGTTTAAAATATTTCTTAGGTGCGCAAAAGTCATCTCACAAAGTATTGAACCAAAAATGATTCAACTTTTGCAACTATGAGTAAAACTCAAATATCTTATGTCTTTAAAAAATTAATTGAGACATCGTTGCTTTACAACAAATCTTAAGTCCATTTTTTGGAAAGAAAAAAAACTTTTTTTGGTTTAAAATACTTAACGCAAATAATTATTAACTAAAAACAAGTAGATTTAAAAATAGTAGTATTTAAAAAAATCAGAAGCAGTGATTAATTTAAAACTTTAAATGCCTTTTTCTAAGAACAGCAAAACGGACTTAAGATTGTCTTGTTTTGCAGCGGCAATTTAATTTGTAAAATTTTGACATATCTTAAGTCCATTTGCTTTTTATAAACTTGTTGCTTCTTATAAACTTAAAATTTTATTTTTTATTTGTTATATTATGAAAAATAATAACATATTCTATAAGTATTTTAAAAACAATTTAGTTTTTAATTATTTTATTATATGGAGAAGATCAAACGCAGTGATGAATTAAAAACTTTAAATGCGTTTTTCTCAGAACAGCAAAAATGGACTTAAGATATATATATATATATAATATATATATATATATATATATATATATATATATATATATATATATATATATATATACATACGCTACATCACTCTTATCAATGATAGAGATGTCATCTTTCTCTGGAAACGTAAAAAATTCCTGGCCAGTTCTCTTAAAAACTTTATGACAAACTCATCTGCACCTAAGCCTTAAATTAACTTAACATAGTATTTCACTTTTTTTTTTTGATGTTTGAAACTTGACAATTACAAAATCATTGATTTTAATAGACAAGCTGTCCTCCTCATTATCGCTGTAAACACTGTGGTTACTTAGTCTTGTCAATTTCTTTTCACATTTACCCGGTCCTTGGGATTCTTGAGCCAAACATTTGGATGTTGTTTCTTCAGCTGATGTTTTTTTCATTTTCAAAAATTCTTCACATGCTAAACCATGTTAAGGAATTTCTTAAAACAGAGGCACAAAAAATTATAAATGAAACAGAAAGAAGTTAAATAAAAATTTTACAATAAAGATTTCATGCACAGCTTATTTTAATCTTTAATGAAAATACTAGAGTAACTGAAAAACTATATATTAATCGAACATTTTTACTGACTAAATAACTAAAGAACATTTAAGAAATGCAAAAGTTTGCAATATTCAATATAAGCAAATATAATATTCAATATTATGTTCAATATAACACAATATTCAATATAAGCAAACTTAAGTTTCTAAAAGCTATACATTAAAAGGATACGGGGATGAAGATACGTCAAAAAATTGACAGGGATTAGTACTTCTCCAATACTATAGTGTTTGCATTTTGTATCATTGTCACATATAATGCATGTCAGCCTTCTCATGGACAATGTTTCTTTTTTAGTGGAACTCCATACCACCTCATAAACTTGTAAAGTCCCCTTGAAAGTTGTTAGGTTTTCTGGTACACATTTCTCATAGAGATTGAAATGTGTGTTGTTAATAGTATAGATGGTTATACTTGGACACTTTTCTTTTATTTCTTCAACCAAATAATTAATATCAGGAATATCTTTCCCTTTTCCAATCAATCTGTCTGCGGTTTTTTTGATACAACCTCCTATTCCATCAGGGGCACCTTTTTCGTCCCCCTTTTCTGTGAAATGCCACCTTATAGTTTTAGCTCCAAACTCTTTTTGAAAAAAAGTACCAATCAAATAAAACATGGACTTGTTTCGGTACTGTTAAGAAGTACTATCACTAAGGAAATGAACTGTTTCAATGACAGGCAGCTTTTCTTTTAAGTCATTAATAACAGGCTTTAAATGCGCACAGATTCCAACAAAATCATGACGCCTGTTATCTGAAATTGTACAGTAAAATTTTGCCTTTATTTTGTTTTCTGAAATACTACAATACTATGTTATAACTGTATGGATTGACACTTGGTTTCTTGATACGCCAAAGTAGAGTGATTGGATTTCTTTTGAGTATTTGCAGTTATAATTTTCTGAAAAGTCACAATGAATGAAAATGTCTCTAGGCCCTAAGTTATTTTTTATTTCTGATGTAGCTTTGTACTGGTGTTTTATATTGCATACATGTTTCATAAACTTTTCCAGTAAGTTGTTAATAAAATGCAAAAACAGCTCTTTTTTAGTTAATGTTAACTCTTCTTTTACAGTTTTAAAACATGTCTTTTTTTATCTTTTATCACAAGTTCAACACTTTTTTTAGACCATTGTGGAAATGTTACTTTTTCATTCATATCATTCTCAAATTCTTTACAAATTATTTTTTTGTTTAAAATGCATATCCCGCATTTCCTTTCCAGGCATGATTCTCTCAGCTCGCCGTCACATGTTATACTTTTTAGCAAGTCAGTAGGATATTTATATGCCAACATCTTAAGACTATACAACTTTTCAAGAATCAAAGAAAAATTCTCATGGTCAAAACATAGACAAATATCTCGTTTACGAAAGTTTGCTTGAACAACCCAAAAGGGTCTTAATTTGCAAAATATGCTATTAGACATTGACTTGAACTCAGTTGATTGTTTTAACTCATTCCACAAATTCAACATTGTATCATTTAATAGTCTTTTTTGTTTTTTCACTTTGTTTCTTGTTATTGTTTCTTTTTTCCCAGCAGTAAGCCTACTGGAACTATCTTTTTCTAAAAAGTTTCTAACTTCCATTTCAAGTTGTTGATTTTTCAGTACATTTGAGGGCTGATTTAAGTTGTATGGTAAGATATATCTTGAAGTAAGATTGTTGAGGCTTCTTTGAAGTCTGTACTTCTTTATTATCTATCCGCTTAATACCCTGGCAAAATTCTATTTTTTTTGGCAATACAACTCTAAGTAGAAAAATTTGATTGTATTTGTGTCTTTAACACTTCGCTAAAAAGCAAGCTTTTCTTTACTTCTTTCGAACATTTCGTACCACTAGTCATTTTTTTAACCACCTTTTGAGGAGTATTATCTTTTGCATATCGCAGTCTGTATAATTTTTGTTTGTATTTATCACCTCTTTGCTTTAACAAATTGTTTTTTTCTTCTAATTTTTGGATTTTTTTCTTCAACCCATCTCTATATTTTCTACGAACTTTTAGCCCGCTTCTTTTTCTGGAACTAGATTCCTGACTGGGACCAGTAAGTACATTTATGCCTATTTCATTTTCGATAGGAATATTTAAAGTTGGCCTTTCAGGTGGTGTAAATAAACTTTTAATAAGTTGCTGTCTTTTCTTTTTCATTTCCCAACTTCTCTTGGTCCTTTCTTTCCAACCTTTTTTTACTGATCTTCTATCCCTTTCTGAAAGTTCATGAATTTTCTTTCGTGTAGCTTTTTTTCTTTCTCTATCTTTCCGTTTTTTTTCTTCATATTTGCCCGGGTTTTCAGTTTTCATCTTCTCCCTCGCTTCCCGCATACTTAGCTTTTTCAATTCTCTAGTTTTTTCTATCTTTCCCATTTTTGTTAACTGTAAGTAAAGAAAAATTATTATAACTATCTGGATAAAAACATTTAACTTTTCAATAATAATTAATTAGCTATATGATCAAAGTTTTTAAATGTTAAAAATGCTTAAAATAGGCATTAAAAAATTCAGGTACAGGTAAAGTTGTCATTTGTTGTCACATCCATTCCATGTGTGTCACGTCTGTTGCTTTCTGTATTCCACAGACCTGACATCCACAGACGTGATAAATTGAAGGAAAAACGCTAAAAGGAGTGCTATGTTTTGAGGCTAGGACTCTGTTCCCCCTTGGAGTAAATATGCCTAGGCAATTGCTATTAAACAAAAGTATTGCTTATAAAAAAGTAAAATTATTTACCCTGGGTATGTTTGCCACAGATGTGATACACTAAGACTAACAAATCAACTTTTAAAACTTTAACACTTATCAACACTAAACAACTAGACCAAAAATTCCCCCATTATTACTTATTAATAAAAATGTCTGGTAGTTTAGCTAGAACAGCAAAATAGAAAACTACATATGTATATATATATATATATATATATATATATATGTATATATATATATACATATATATATATATATATATATATATATATATATATATATATATATATATATATATATATATATATATATATATATATATATGTATATATATATATATATATATATATATATATATATATATGTATATATATATATATATATATATATATGTATATATATATATATATATATATATATATATATATATATATATATATATATGTATATATATATATATATATATATATATATATATATATATATATATATATATATATATATATATATATATATATATATATATATATATATATATATATATATATATATATATATAATTAAAACAGTTGTATGTTCTTTGAAATTGCAGTTCTTGAGATTAAAATGTTTTATTTATTATAACAAGTTAAAAGTTTTAGTCACAGCTAGATATATCTAACCTTATAAAAACTTTCCTTTTTTACCAACCGTGTTTTTTATTAAATAAGCATCTTTTGCATATCAGCATAACTTTTAAACAAAACTAAAGCACAGTAATATTTTACAAAACTAAAGCACAGTAATATTTTGTTATAATAACAAAATTTATTTTGTAAAACGTTCAGATTTGTTTTCATAGTATCATTATGGATAACGAAAAAAGCATTTTAAAAATAATGCAATTATTTCAAAACGACATTCGGCCAAAACTCTGTATCCAACGCAATCGGGCGAATGCTACCCCAAAATCAAATGCTGTCGCAGTGGCGTACGACTACCAGCCAATTCTGGCATTTCGTTCCACGCTGCTCCGACTATTTGCAATGATATACCATACATGAAAAAGTTGCGTGAAGCGCTTGCCAGACTCGCGCCAGTAATGGCCCGTTACTAATATTATCGCAGCTGCATGCGATGGTTCACCAGAGTTCTGGCCCGGAATCGTGTGTTGTCTGGGTAAGTGGTCATCCATAAAGTACATACGCCAAAAATTTTGAAATCTGACCCCCTCCCTCCCCCCCTGTTACCATGCGTACTTCTAAGTCCTTCCCTCCTTTAAATAGTACGTACGTTTTTGAAATACTTCCTCCCCCAAACTTTTTTTTTCAATGAAAAAGTTTATGGATAAAAAAAAAAAGGTGGAGAAGGTACCTTAGATTTCTATATGACCCAAAAGCTCTTTGTTTGCGGCACAGAATCCGAATTTAAAAAAACCTCTTCAAATATATGCAAATATTAATTTTTTTATAGTTACTTAACGTCAACATGTTCGCTTGGTCGAGCGGTTGGTGTTGTGGTCTATAGCACCGGAGATTTGTGATCGAATAGGGGTGCCTAAAAAAATCTTTTTTTTAGGCACCCCTACTTAGTAAGTCCGTAAAAAACGAGTCCTACGCGAGATCAGTAATATCAAAACAAAGCCTAAAACCCAGAACCCCTTAATTTGAGAGGGAGGGGGGGGGGGTGGAAGGGGCAGAAAATTTTGTGTCTTTTTGTTAATTTAAGGATCTTTTTAGTTTAGCAAAATCTAGAGGTCAAATTTTGGAGATTTTGAGACTCAAATGACACAATTTTTTGGGGGGCCTCCGACCCATCAGCCACGGCACTGCTAAAACCTGTTTTTTGTCGACTCAAAAAATAGATTGACTAAAAAACGCCTTTTAGGGCCAGTATATAAGGGGTGGCATGTGTGCATGGGTGCCCGCAGGATTTTGATGTTCTAGATAGGATACTTACACACATTTGGCATAGTTATGCTTAAGTTTGGAGTTTGCACAAGCTCCAAACATAAGTATGCCTATGCCAAAGGCGTGAACATTGTGAAAGCTGTAAAACTCAAGTATAACTATGCCAAATAAAGAGGCATTGCAAAATGGTGGGATGGCGGAGACCTGGGAACAAAAAAGCCCTAAAGAAAAAGATTGAAATATCCAAGCGTGAGGGCACTAATGTAGTAAAATTTCAACTTTTATCATCTAAAACTAAATTTATATTTTAAATTTCGTAGAAATTTTAAATATAAATTTAGTTTTAGATGATAAATGTTGAAATTTTAAATTTCGTAGAAAAATATTGTAAATTACAAAAGTTATGACCATACAAAATTTGTACCCCTCCTCTTTTCTTTTTTTTTTTGAAGGAGGAGGGGGGGGGAGCGTTTCAGGGCTTTTTTGCTCCCAGGCCTCCGCCTTCTTAATTTTTTGCAAGCCCTCCTCATTTGGCATAGGTATAAACATACTTAAGTTTGGAGTTTGCACAACATGTGAAAGTTTTTCTTATCTGGAACATCAAAAAGTCCTGCGAGCCGCCATGCATGTGTGTGTATTGAGGGAAACTGTACCCTCTACTCCCTACCAAACATCTTTTTATGTTGGCAAACTAAGATCTTAGTCAGAATTTTAACTTTTTTATTGATTAGCTGGTTAATTGTGATAAATTAAAAAATCGATGTACGTACTTTTAAATTAAACCTTCCATCCCCCTTCCCCTACCCCCAATACACTTTCGCACGCTTTTTGAAGACCTCCCCCCCCCTTATTTTTAGCGAAAATTCTTCCAGCTAAAAAATGATTATCTGTAACTATTTTTTTTAAAGATCGCATCTTAATAATTATTCTCGTCTCTAATCTGGATTATCATGTAGTAATTGATAAAAATTTATTTTGTTTGATGGATTGCATCCCTTTATCATAAATAAAAAGCTGCTTTTATATATGTTTCTAGCTGCTTTTGTGGCTTAAAATAATTTTGATAGACTTTTTTTTAATTTGAAAAATCACTTTTTCACAAATACATTATCGCGATCTTTTTACAATTTACAAACGTAGCAAAATACACATCCAGTTGACTCTTCTAATTTTAATCATAATTAAATTATCTAATCATAATTAAATTTTCTAATCAAAATTAAATTAAAAAAATGCATAAATAGTTCTAATGATAAATTAGAAACTTCATCTAAAAAATAGTAACCAACCATTTGCAATCACATCTTTCACCATAATTTAACTCTTTTTAAAAATATAAGCTAACAATATCTATTCTGGTTTTTGTATTCTCGATTCGATGATTTGAAAATGAAGCTTTAACTTTGAAAAAAAGCATACCTTTTGGCTGTAAAGCATACCGAAAAGCTGTAAAAATTTAATGCCATGGAAGGACATGTCACGGAAGGACAAAAAGTATACATTAATGAAGTTATCATATAATCTTTTTATAAACAAACAATAATAAAACTTTTATAGATTTCATTGATTTTTTTCATCATTGTCAATAACTTTCTTTTTCTCTTACTTTCTTTTTCTCATCATATTCAATAACTTTCTTTTTCTCCTACTGCTTCTCCATTCTTTTTTTCCCATGCCTATGATTTAAAAAAATTTGATGATTTTTTAAAGGTGCTCTAAGTCAATAAAATTTAGATTTAATCTTCTAATATGGTAAACCTTTAAAGTTGCATGAGTGTAGATGCTATCATTTAAATCTGTGAACTATTTTGCGTACAAGAAGATCACTGTAATGTCACACAACAGTTTTTTGAAATAGCCCATCAGCTATTTCAAAAAACTGTTTAGCATTTTTAATAAAAACTTTAGCTGACAAAACTTTCTTGTAAAATTGGTTTTTTATATTTCACTAATTTTATCATGGGATCTTTTAAAGTGATGTGCCTCACCATAATTTCATGTCAATGTAATATTTTCAGAGAAATAAGTGAAGAACCAAACAACAAATGAGATCGGAACTGACGAGCGCATCCAGCACTCTAAAAATGGAAATTGATGGAGTTATACCCTTGACTATGCTATTAAGCCGGTTGTTGTTCGCAAATGCAACATTGCAATCATGCCTCGTTTTAATTGTTATGATTACTACTGGAAATTTACCAAATTAATTTTTTATCAAGTTTACTATTCTAAACTGTAATACTTTTATAAAAGTAACAAGCTGCTGTGAATATGATAAAATGTTCATGCCCAAAGTAAGCACTCTGGATTTCGTGTCAAGGAGGGATAGGGTAATAAAGGCAATTGCCCCCATTGATATTTAATAAAGTAAGTAAGTTGATTTGAGATTTTCATCTACTTTGAGATTTGCCGTCAGCCATTTTAACTCTGAAAATTGGCGGTAAATATTATACTTATGCATTCACATTTTGCTACCATTTCTATTGAATGCATTGCAGCTTTTTTACCAGTAGCTTCTTCTTGAACTTTGCAAACAACTTTTTTGTTGTTATCCAACGGTAATATTGTAAAACATTAAATTTTTTTAATTCTTGACATAAACCGGATGTTTTCGTTCTTTTTGACATTTTATGCAATCGTCTTTCATACATATGAGTGACTTGACAGAGCATTCTCCAAGTTCCAAAAGTTCCACTGGTTCAGCTGGCAAATTTTCAATAATTCCATTTATTTTCTTTGATGAAATATTTTTTTATTGCCCGTAGCAAAAGTTGACCATTTACACAGGATTCACATCAACAATCATCTTCTA